TTTTTGCGAATTTGGTATTTGTTTTGGCATATCAAACGAACGAACATTCGCAAATAATCGTACCTGCAAAAATTTGTTCGTTCGCAAGCGTACGCTTTGGTATGGATGCCGCTTGACATGATATCACAAGTAATTTTAAGAATACATTCAAGACAGGTGGCTTTATCTTTTTTTTTATCATACTTCATATTTTAACAGCTTTGTTTTTAATTTTTAGAAAAAACTGTATAAATAATTGGAGAGAATAGGTCTGTTCCCAGAGCTACTTGTCGTAACTTTGAGTAACTCTGTGTATACACAAGTCGTTCCATTAGCAAATTTTCGAGTAAATGAGAGCATCTGAGAGAGCGTAACATCCCTGTCGAAATTTGAAAATGCTACAAAGACTTTACTCCTACATTTTATTTCAATTAAAATTTGTGTGACATGTGAATCAGCTGTTTTGGTTTAAATTTAAATTTTTGTATTGTTTATTTACGAGTAAGAGGTAAGAGGTTCGATTTGTAATAAGTTGTAAGTAGAAAATAACTTGCATTGAAGTGTTGAAATGATCAATTTTTTTGCCCTTTGTCAAAACAAAATCGATCTTATAGTTTTTTAATATATATATTTTATTTTATATTCATCTTTTTTCTGATAAATAAATAAAAAAAAAATATTATACACTGGCAGCCAAACACATGTATAAAAGAAATCAAAACAACAAAAAATAACAACGAGAGAAATAACATGTTGACTTGTGTTTACATTTTCGTTTTTGCCAAAGCTGAGAGTGCAGCTTAAAATCGCAAGGTGAGAAAAAAAGAGGGGAAAGTTGAATTCGATGGCCAGAGAAAAAAAAAACGGAGTCGAAAAAACAGTTTGGTTGCTTTGGAAGTCGCGTGGTTTTTTGTTTTGAGGGAGTACGGTTGATACTTCGCTGCGGATGGTTAGTAAAAATATAAAGTGAACTACAAACGACGGATTCATAATAAAAATATAAAGTGAACTACAAACGGCGGATTCTTAGTGAACTACAAAAGTAATAAAAGAAAACATTTAAATAAAGGAATAAAATTAAGTGTATAGTTGGTGACTCCAAGCCCTGTATTGTGTTCATTTTTTTTACACTGAGGAAGGGGTATTTTGAGCTGCATTTGGTAGATTCATTTAATCGATGAGAAACTGGTGGGCTTACAAAGGAAGCCAACCATATTTTAAAACGGTCAATTATCTTAGGGTGTTGTTGGCGATCAGCGGCAGTTGTATGTAGCAGCTGCAAAGAATTCCACAGCATGTATTTATATTATGTATATATATTATACCAATTGTCATTTTTTTATATAATTTTTTGTTTATATAATTAATTGAATTTTGTATATATAAATACCTATATAAAGTATATTACAGGCATTGTATTATTTATGTTATTCCTTAGTATTGTATTAGGTTTTTTTTGAAATATATCTAGTGTGTAATAATGAAGCATATACTATATAAACTGTATTATTTATTGTATTAGTTTTGTTTTTGGGAATCTCCTAAATTGTTTATTGTTAGTTTAAATTTATATATTTTTTTTTGTACTGAACCCTGGTATACGCTGTGTATACCCCGGCTTTGGAAAGGGCCGGATAAGTCGTTACAGTGTTTATATGTGTATTGCTTATTTTTCAATTTTTTATTTCATTGATATTAAAAAAATGAACTTTATCGTAACTTGAAGTAGCCGTAAAACCTTTAGAGAATTGCGGTGTGTACCGTTCTATGTGTAGCGAACGCGACTTCATGATTCCTGATGCAGAGAATTCATAGACAACGGAATTACACTCACAATTATAATATATGTATATTATTAAATTAAATTTATTAGATATAATATATGAGCTTTTATTTCTTTCTATGCCATTTGACTAGAATTATGCACTGTATGCCAGTGCAGGTATAGCCAGCAGGTATATAATATAAATGTAAGTTATATATTATATATTAAGTTATATATATATTAAGTTATATATTGATTTTGCAATACAGAGGGCAAAGACATTATTTTACCTATGTAATAAGCAAAAACTAACACGATGGGTTTGGTATAGTGCTTCTACTCGGGTGCTTGGGATGCATAAGTAAACACAACACGGTTAAATATGGATTTATATTCTGCTTATGTAGCAGACTCAGCTAAGCTTAGACAACATTTTCTCTCTTACATCTTTACATAGATTCTATAAAGGCTCCCGCACTGACAATCAATATTACCGCAAAAAAATCGATCGGTCATCAAATTTCAAATAAAAAAGCTGAATCATTAAAAATGTCTCTGATTTCAACAGGACTTATAAGACATATGAAATGTAAGCAAGCCTTTGAAATCGAACAAAGGTTTACATCAGAGAACTGCCAGAAGCATCCAACTTCTAAAAGAATTTGCCGACCCTTGGCTTCATATCGAACCAAAAGTATAAGCTCAAGGGGAAGAAGCAAATCGAAATAGAATTTTGACTTTTCGAGAAGTGCTGGAATCAAACTATGCGACTGGCATCCAAATGAGTTCTACGGAAACTATTTATAACAATTGTAAGTATTAAATATATGTTATGTGCTATGTTCACATTGATGACATTTATTGTTTTGGTACCCAATACTTCTATTGCTGTTATGGCATTGTAATGCTTATTAGAACCATCATAATTTTTTATACCAAATTAAGTAGGTAATGACCGTAATAGTTATTACTTCGATACAAAAACGGTCAACCAATATATGGATTACTCATATTTTATAATGAAACTCGATTACTAACCTAAAATAAAAGCCAATTTTGTCTTATATAACATGTAAACATATTCTTTATGAGTAATGAAAACTACAAAGTGTATAAAGAACTGAACGACAATAATAAAAAATCTGTTACTGGGAGCTATGGTATCAAAATGAAACATTGAATCTAAGTTCAGTAACTTGTCTTTATCTTATTTTATTTATATTTTAAATACTTATTTTTATTCAGAAAATTGATTCAGGGTTCAAAATTGTCTAAACTGTCTAAATGTTCATATTTTAGCAAACTACGTTCTCAATGCTAACAACTACGATATACCCACTATGTAATTACTCATATTTTCTGATAAATACAAACTTAACATATCTTCGTTTGCTGACGCAATTCGATTTTCAAAGAATTTTTTAAGTTATTGTCTCTATTTTTTATCTAGCAAAATCCATAATATAATTTCTTTACATACTTCATTTTAAATATTTTCACTTAAATTGGCATAGCGTAATATATTTTTGTAGAGGTAAACGAGATAGCATGTCAGCATGACCTATTGAAACCCCGGACACACTGGTAAAAATAATGCATATCATTACAATCGATTTACCAAAAGCGGTAGCATATCTTTTTTCATTTAAAAAATATATCTTAACAGCTAGTGGTCAATCCCAAAAATATACTTCTGAAGCTTCTACAATACAAAAACTATCGTTAAACCCTCTCGATGCAATTGCAAGTTCTTTCTTGAATGTTCTTCTTCTTCTTTATTTGCCAATTCGATTTCGAATATTGGTGATCATGTAACATAACATAATACTATATTGATTAATTATAACATAATAATAATTATAACATAATAACATAACATAAAACTATATTGTTTGATTAGTTTTTAATAAACACAATTACAAATTTTTAACTATTTCTGCGTATTGCTCTCTGCATCTAGCTATATTTATAAGGCTGCCAACCTCTCGTATTTGAGTCCATTGACGAATGTTTCGCAGCCATGAAAATTGTTTTCTACCAATACCGCGTTTGCCTTCGATTTTTCCTTGAATAATCATTTGGAGTAGCTCATATTTTGAATTTCGCATAATATGTCCCAGGTAAGCCGTTTTTCTTCTTTTTATAATTGTTAACAATTCGCGATCACACCTCATTCTTCGTAACACTTCATTATTTGTAACATGATCTGTCCATGGAATTTTGAGAATTCTCCGATAAATCCATAACTCAAATGCTTCGAGTTTGTTAATATCAACAATTTTCAAAGTCCAGGTTTCCATGGCGTATAGAAGTATAGACCAGACATAGCATTTTACAAAACGGATTTTAGTTTTAATATTGAGATCATGACTATTAAGCACTTTTTTGTATCTAAGAAAAGTATTTCGTGCTATTTCTATTCGGCATTTGATCTCTTTGGAACAATTCCAATTTTCATTTACCATACAAAGCATCCAAGATATTTAAAATGCTGTACTCTTTCTATACCAATATTATTAACCATTAAATTTGTGTTGCTATACATATTCTTTCGCCTTACAATCATTTTGTTTTATTTATATTTATTTTTAGTCCATATTGTTCGCTGGTGGTGTTAACACTGTTTACTAGCTCTTGTAGGCCACTTAAATTGTCGGCAATAAGCG